GTCGGTCGGTTCCACTTGTCGTGTGCTCCTTATCATTACAGTGCCAACCAGACCCAACCTGATACCCAAGCAGTACATGAAAGCATTCCTTGCTCTTGGATTGCTCTAAGATCGCTATGGAACAACTCCGGGACTAATCTAGAAAGCTACCCTTACGGTATATATTGTCAGCCTCAAAGTATACAATATATATACGAGGGTTGTCCCAAAAAGTCGTAGACAATGTTTATAATTTTTTAAACATGCAATCAATACTAACCAAATTTTGCATAGACATAACGTATTCAATGTTCTTTAGAACTGCGAATTCTTAAAAATATAAATATTTTATATTAACAATATTAGGACGATTTATATGAAGGTCGATAAGGCTTGTCGGCGCACGAACAAAATTCGGAATAATTTGCGCACATAACTATTACATTTGCTTTTATTTCTTTAGTACTATGTAATACATTGAAATTGAATTTACATCACTGAAACCAAAATCAGAATTTTAATTATATGTCAAAATTTCATACAAGTAGCTTTAAAACAGACAATTGGTGTCATGATTTTCAAAGTATCGCTGGAATTAAGTTTGATAAAAATGGCGTCGTCAAACGCGTAACCGGCGCACAGAGATGTAATAAATTGTATTGGGTATGCTTAATATACATCAGAAACGGGTAAAAAAGGAGTACAGAAGTGACATTAACACAGAAAATTACAATAAATAAGTTATTTTGCACGCTATTCAATGAGAGTTTTTCCTTTATACCGAAAATAGTTACGGCATGTAAGAAGTAGAGTACTGCTTGTTAAATGCAGACAACAATTGGGAACAATCTTTACGCGAACGACGTCAAACAATGTGTATTCTCGACTGCCTACAGTATAAGGCGTTTTGACTAAATTTCGACTGGAATTTGAATCTGCTTAAAAAACAAATAAAAAACAAACGGAGAGTACTGAATTTAAATAAGTCCCTTAGTCAAGAGTGGTCTATCACTTAAAAGAAATATTGAATGTTAATAGATGAAATAAATGAAGCAGGCAAAGAGATCATGACGTTATAAGAGACGTTATTTACGCATATTTCGTGCGCCTGTGTACAATTACATACTTTCTTTATTTTTACATAATTTTCTTATTAGCTGTGATATTTTCATGAAACGTGAATTGCATGATCATGAAATGCTACTTTTCGCTATGACAAGAAAAGAAATTTAATTAACCAAAGAGAAACTAAACTGTTTTCCCTGTCTACAACTTTCTGGGACAACTCTCGTACTTCATGAAATATTGATGATGTCAATGAAATCAAAAACTTTTATATTAAAGTGTTTATGAGATCCCAGCTTTTGCTAAGATTTATATTTTTCAAAGCTTTTTGTGTGTGATTCAATCATTTTTATAACAATTGAAGTAGCTGCAATATTTCATATAGCTACATATACAATCAAGAAGTAAAGGGTGAAAATAAATTCATAAAAGGCAAACAATGCCTTGCATCAACGGGCTATTAAATAATTGTTTCCTAACCCATAAAAAATTATTAGAGTTCAATGGGAATATTCAGCTGACCGCTAGTTGACGATCATCTGACCGTCAATTGACCATTTATTTAGTTAAATTTTTGCCATGCAAATGAGGGAGGTTCAACTCATTTGCATAGCATGGACCACTGTTGAATGGTCCTATATATTCTTTACAGTCGGCCATTAGTTAAATACTCCCCTTTTTTCTTTGCAGTTGACCTTTTGTTGTTGGATACTCCTCTATTTTCTTTGCAGTTCACCTTTAGTTGTATACTCTTCTATTTTCTTTAATTACAATTGACAATAAGTTGAATACTCCTCTATTTCCTTTGCAGTTTACTTCTTTTGAACGCTCCAATATTTTCTTTAGAGTAGACCATTGTTGAATACTCCATAAGTCAGTGCACAGATGTTGCATGCATTTTTAAAAGTCGTCTTGAAACAAAAGCTGCCTTGTCTCTGAGTATGAAACGTCAAAACAATGGAGATTCTAAAATAACGTACATTTACAAACATGATAAATACAGTGTAAATAGAGCCTTAACAAAAAAACATTTTAGTTAATTATAGTAAAATAGAGTTAACTATAGTTAAACTATAGTAAATCAAAGTGTTCACGTTATCACTGCAGTAAATCAAAGTTTTCAAAGTGTTCACAATAATGTCAAAGTTATCACTATAGTAAAATTTATCGTGTAATGTATTTAAAGTTATCACTTAAGTAACTTCAAGTGTCAAAGTTATCACTATACTAAATCAAAGTGTCAAAGTTATCACTATACTAAATCAAAGAGTCAAAGTTATCTCTATAGTAAATCAAAATTTTCATAGTGTCAAAATATAGTTAACTATAATAGTAAACTAAAATTTAAACTATAGTACTTTTTGTTGGGGCGACACACGCTTTTCAGAGAAGCATTCAACTCCTTGTGGTCAACTGTTTGCGTGTTATATATGTAAGTTGACGACAAGCCAACGGTCAGCTACACATTTTCGTATAGGAAGATAACTTTTACAAACTTAGCTCGATGAAATCCTTCTCTCTCTCTCTCTCTCTCTCTCTCTCTCTCTCTCTCTCTCTCTCTCTCTCTCTCTAACAAACAAACAAACAAACAAACTGATGATCAGAAACTGAATGTTTCTATTCTGTATAATATCTTTTATATTTACGTTAAAACATGTATCCCCATCTATATGTTTATATTAAGAAGGATAAAATGTAGCTATGATAAGTTAGTCATACTTTTTATTCACAAAAATTAAAATCTAAATAATATTTATTTTCCTCTTTTTGTATATAATTGATAGATAACGGTGTGTATTAATAAAATCGATCATTAAATTTAATATGAAGATAACGAACCGTAATCAAGCTCAAAAGTCCATTTCAACAATCGAAATTAGGAACTGAGGAAACACAAACCTTACAAATCATCAGATGTGGTATTAGTTGTTAACGAGGAGTAAGCATCCACTGTTGGCATGTTTCTTACGCCCTGTGTTCCTTGTTAGGTTTGCGGAAATGAGCAAAATCGTAGACAGTTTAGCATGGAAATAAATGACAAACAATACGTATAGAAACGTCTATAATTATTCGACTAAATAAATAAAATCATAATTACATGGTTATTTTGTGGACTAAAGAACTTGCACAATAATTACTTTAAACGAGGCTCTGGATATATTTGTTTCATATACTTCATTAGTAACTCTTGCCTATCAAAGTATCAAGTATGTAGGATTTTTTTTTCTCTTTATTTAGGTTATAATTGAATATTACTACATAGATAAGGATAGTTGACGATAGAAAAGATTACGTCATCATGTTTCTCTTTTTAGTAAGGAATCCAATTATGAGCTATCTTTGTCGGTCAGACTTTGTTGTATTTTTAATGCAAGAGATTTATCGAGTTGACATATGAATGGAAGTAGCTATCGTTTATTAATCATATGTTGTAGATATTTAAATGTTTAGTTGATATAAAATATGGCAAAAATTTTGACACTATGACATCCTTCCTGTTTGATCTAATATGTAAGGAAGAAGAACCATACTATCGGTGTAATAACGTATAAAGCGCTATAATGTATTATGAAATTTAATGCAACACAGAAGAAAAAAGGAATACTCTTAAAACTGGTTCAAGGAAGGTACAGTTTTAATTATTTTAATTTTATGTCACAATTCAATGTAAAAGATATTTCTTTTCGGTGCACAGATTCATGTATCAAACATTCGAAAATACTCGATCATTAGTAATATCCCAAACATCTTCTTTTTTTTTGTCAAGATGTTGTTGAAAATTGTAACACACATTTTTCCATCATGTGCACCATGCGCCTACATATGTCAACTAAACATCGTCTAGATCTCGTACGACGGACACCATATAGTTATATGGGTACTGATACATAGATTAAACATGATATGTAATGCTAGCAGATAAAAATAAGCTAGGCATCAACAGATACGAAATGTTTCATTCAGAGATGCAAAATTTAAATAAAACAATGTATATTTTTTAATCTTATATTTCTTCGAAAATCCTGCCTGCCAAAAAAAGTTTTACAGAAAGTTGATCATAACCACCATCATATGCATTACCCTGGTAATACCCTATTTTCGAAAGATGTAATATGACGGTAAAGTTATTAACTATAATCCTTCTGGAATTTATATTCTCAGACTGAAATATCTGGTTTTATTTCTATAGAAAAACTTATCTTGTTTGTTAAATAAATGGCAAAATATTATATAGTTTATCACTTTAACTTTTATCTGCATTGGATGTTTCTGCGTTGATACCTTTTCAAATTTTTTGTTATTTTACTGTTATGCTTGTTGTTGTAAGACAGGTAATCGGATTGCCCATTTCAGGGTTTTTTTAAGTTTCAGTTAAGAGTTACGTCTGACAGTAATGGATCCAACAGTATTAATTACTCCTTGTAACGATATTCTATGCACGTCTTGAAGACTGAGAACCTCATGACCAGTTATCAATTTATTCACTGTATCGGAATAGGTCTGCTGTGTTTTCAGAGGATTATCCTCTTTGCAGTACCCTTGTTTCTGTTTCTTCTTAGGGATACATATCATCAGAAGATGAGCATGATAAGGAGAAACATCTTCCACTGTCTTATATATCAATACAAACTATTTTCCCAATTTTCCCATGGGTTTGATTTGGTTTGAAAGTTGTTAAAATGAAATTGTTTCATCAGTTTTTTCAAATGCAGTATTTCTATCTTATTCTTATTTAATTTTTTTTAAGGAAGACTAAGTTAAAAAGGAGTAATTTATTGATTTATTGTTTGTTGTTTAACGTCCCCTTTAAGAATTTTTCACTCATGTAGAATCGTCACCATATACCATGAAGGGAATCAAATTTTGTCCTTTACTCGGCTCCCAAGGCCGTTGAGCAGCGAGATATCTTTATTGTTCAAACGCCTGCCGAGACGCGGGGCCTTGGTTTTTACTGGGTGACTTACAGTGAACGTTACAAAAAAGAAAAGGAAAAGGATGAAAGAAAAGTTCGAATCAATATCTATACCCAGATATATTTTATTCAATGTAACATTTACTCATTCTATCAATTGATTAAAATCAAAAAGGCGTCTCAATTTTATCCTAGCTCATCAGACATCTACTGTACCATCCCGATATGATACAAAATGTACCAAGGATTGGAGTATGTTTTACTGCTGTGTTTTTCTATACCATGGACATATGCTCAAATCACTTCCAATGCGGCTGGCGTTTGTAGAAAGTAAGTAAAATTAAATTTTCCCCTTTTCAAAGTTATTACCCATTTCGCTTCGTTTGGTTACTAATCACAAAAATGTTTTACCGGTATTTTAATTTAAAATGCATATAATATAGTAGTATTTTGTTAAAGAGAACCATTGAAATGCTGCGTAAACTACAGAAGAGTTGGAAATGAATGTAAAGGTACGGCAATGATTTATAACATGTTATGGAAGTTGATATTTTTCCTGTAGGTTTCAATATACTAAACATATTTTAAATATAAGTATTGGTATATTTTTATGCTTGTTTATTTATGTTTAAGTGTATATTTGCAAGCATCTGATCCTCTGATGTTTTGGAGGTCCGTATTTGCTCTGCTCCTATTTTGTATTGCTTTATGGACATTTGATCTGGAATACTGTTCGTTATCTCCATATTATGTTTCACGTATATTCTATAAAGAGATGAGATTTTTTTAAGTTGGATTTTAAAACAACATATCAACTCTGTAGAGCTTTTGACCGACATAAAAATAGATCAGTTTTTGCTTTCTTTGAATTCATTGTAAAGGATTATAGTTTTATTTATAACTAAGAATGTTTTCCTGGAAGTTTTGGTGAGAAATGTATTAAAACTTGCCCTGATGGATTATATGGGAAGTTCTGCCTGGAGAAATGTGATTGTTCAAATTGCAGCAAGATATATGGATGTACAGAAAATTCAGTCTTACAGGGTAAATCTAACATTCAGAATGTACATACAAAACTTATGTATAACGAAAATTAAAAAACAAACACCTTTATTTTTCTATACAAGTTTTTTTTTAATTTGGTCTTAAACAATTTTTCATACGCTGTTTTGTTTGTATGAAAATTTGTTTGTTTAGACATTAGCCTAAGGTCAAGATCTAGTAAATAACTGGAGACTATTTTTTGGGTGCTAGATCCATTATGACGTCATAATCAATTTCAACTTTCTTTTTCCCGTACTTTACGGCTTTAGCAGAGTTATGTAGAAAATAAGGTATTTTCATGTCATTCAATTTGAAATCATATGAAAAGTAAACCGGATACCCATATTAAATTCGATATTGATTTAAAGAAGAGGCCATGAACATACTAATTATCGTTTTCTGAGAGACTGTAGGCAATCTGGATACATTTCCTTTGCAGAATACGAAGAAAACTCCCATAGTCATGACTGGTTTTCTTAATTTTTCATTGAAAATGACAGTTTAAAATACAGTTTTTCATCTTGTTTACCTACAATTTATGCCCCAAAGCACCTTATTTGACCAAGCTAAAGTTGTAAAGCATCAATTAAGATATTTATTTCTCAAGTTTGATAAATCTGTAGGCACCTTTCATTTACTAGATCTTGACCTTAATTATCATGTCTAAAACCTCACTGTTTTCAAATTTATAAGTTAATTCATTAATAACATTATATTTTTGTAAATTCTCATCATAGATAATCAGGAATCATAGTTTAAGAACACATTCATACACACTCATTGGTGTTTGAATTTATAAATTCAGAATAATGATTAAATTTCGGAAAAATGTGCCCTATGTTAAAAATAGTGAATGTGCATCACACGGTTACAAACTCTGAAAAAAAATCGCAATCTTCAGGAGAACCATCCAAAGAAGACGAGAACATTGAGTGGCATACTGTTGCAATGTTCGTTTCTGGAAGTGCGGGTCTCTGTTTTATAATTGGTTTTGCTGTGTACAACAAACTGAGGTAAAGCACTGATCTTTCTTTTTACGGCTTCAAATATTGTATGAGAAGAGGTGAAATCATTAACTTTCAAGTAGATTTTATTTAAACAAGAAATCACGGCCTACTGAATGCCTCTTATAGGACAAAATCTTTCAAATACGACTGAATCTAAATTCCAAGACATTTGTATCCCTGACCCTCCGTTCACATTTTCATTGTGATGTTTTTACTGCAAACATTATAGCCTTTGGAAGCAAATGTATTCAAATTTTCGGGTTTTTTTTTTTTAGAACTAGAGGTACTGTGAGCTATTAGCTCACTAAATGATATCCCCCGCCTCATGCGAAACTTATGACATAAGGTGTAGGGTTGGTCCTCAACAGACGACTAATGTTTAAAACCATATCCTTCTTTAAAAAAGACATATTTATTTCTAAAAAATACGGAAACGTCCTCGGGCAGTGTAGATTCAATACTTTTCATAACCCCAGTTATAGAGTTTAAAATGGGAAGAAGTTTCTTTCAGAAAATATAGGATTTTATTTGTTAATCGTTTTCTCAGGAAAGGAAAAGTTATAATTAGGGATATTTATATACATGAGTATCTTCAGGTATTGTAGATTGAAATTTCAATCCTGAGAATTCGGGACCCTCGGGAAAAGGGCAAGCATCAACAGTTGGTCCATGTTAGACTTAAAAATAAATGGGAAAACTTTTTTTGAAAAAAGTTTTTTCTCCAGATCAACAGAGCAATGATTAGTCATATTTTATATGGAAACATTATCAAGTAGTGTAGATTTAGGATTTCTCATTTCAAACATTTTTTCTTTTGTTTGTCCTGTATTCAGGAGAAAAATATTAAATTGACAATTCTTTTATGCAAAATAAATAATATTTTGAGTATATTTTTTGTTTGATAGGAAACTCCAAAAACACCAGAGGAATCCAAAGGGTAATAATGGTAAAAGGCATTTTTTAAAGGTTGATTTTGTAATTCATTTTATAGTTTAGGTATTTTCTAATCCTTTTTCATATTTTCAAACTTTGATATTTACACGTTACTAAGATAATCTTCAAAGAGATGTGAAAATTATATTTATATTAGATGTTCCAGATTCCAATGGGCAACCACAATTAAATCCAAGTACAAGTACAATGATTGCGGGGGAATATATTGAAAATTTCCCAATCTCTAAGGAACAACATCCCTCATCAAAATGCCATAATCTGCCAGAACCATTTTCATCTGATGGATGTATACCAAAACAGGTTGCATTTAAAAACGGCAGCATATCACAAGATGCTGAAATTACATCAGAAAACATATACAGTCACCTCAACATGGACGCTATGTCCTACAACACGTTAAATCACACATCCGAATCAGAAAAAGCGCCAGTTATAGGAATGTATTCGACATCTTCGCAGGAAGTGACTTCCACAGAGAACAATATTTCTGATAAAACTGAAAGTAAAAGTACAAGCAGACAAAGTTTTCTTCATCCTGTGGTTGCCTTATCAAAGGGAGATGAAAATGCGATGACGAAAGATGACAGGAAACAAATTAACAATACAACTATGAAAAATACCTCTGAAGCTGCAAAATCAAACATCCAAAACTCAGAAAAGTTTTCAACCTCTTTGACTAAAAAAGTAAGAACTCCATCAAAAAGGGAAAAACTAGAGAAGAAAACGCATGTGGATGAAATGTCCAAGATGCTTGAAGACTTTAAGCCAAAAACTGAAGAACTAGAAAACAATAATTCAAAGGCAAGCGTACTTCACAGATCATCGAAAAAGACGAAAAGGAAACTGTTAAGGTACAGTTTCGCGCCTTCTACAGAAATAGCTTGATTGATTTAAACAAGAAATAAATTATTTTATCCTTAAAATAATGCATAATATTTAAAACGGAAAATATATTATATTATGTTTTTAAGGTATACCTTTACTAAGATGACTAAAAATTCCACTGATAAGAACAAAAAACCACCTATTGCACATTGTACACCTATAATTCTTGTGTTAAATTTCAATTTCAAATAACTAGGTCAATGACCTACTTTTCATGCTAGTGGCCCCTGAGTATTTCTCGGGAAATACCTCGATTTTTCACTCTATGGCCAATTTTTTCTTCACTCACAAAATATTATAAGCAACAAAACTCTATAAATAATGAAATATTATAGTAATGGAACAGTGTTGCTTCATATAAAGAAACGATCAGAGTTCTGGCCATAAACTTGATAATTATTACAGTCCGAATTTCCTCTGTCATATTTATATTTTTCCCCATTTTTAATCGAATATTTAAAAAATCTGACTGATAAGAACTCTAATTTATTTATAGCCTCATATTACCTTTGTTGCCGTAATTCTCATGGTAATAAAATTATAAGGGGTCAATGATCAAATTATTGAGACATGTTGTCTGTAATGGTTTTGTTCATATTTTTGAATTTCTTTATTTAATAGCATTCAATTATTTGAAATAATTTATGAGCTTTAAGACTAATAAAATTTGCAAAATGATGTCTAAAAATACATGTTACCTTCACATTGTAATTAATATTGCAAGAAATAAAAGATTTTGACAAAAATGAAAAATTAAAAATTTAGTCCGAATTTCCTCTGCATAACCATACACTGACATTTGTTCCTGTATATTTTCTTCAAATAATAAAATATGAAATTTTTAAATTGGTATTGAGTTAAAACTTCGTAATTTTATCCATTTAGAACAATTTTTGATTAAACATATTATACTTTATAAAATTTCCTTTCTGTTTTCTGAAACCTGAGTAAACGTCATCCTTAAGACACTGTGGTCGTTTAATAAATAATGCAACATGTCATCTAAAAATTAGAAAAGTACGTAAAACATATTCCTATTAGTTTTATTTCCTCAAGACAATCCCTGTTACCCTTTACACATGTATAAGGGCTTTGTATTTACGAAAATAAAAGCTCTGCATACTTATCTTTAGAGATGCCCCAAAGGCACCGATGAATTTAATTTCCCATGACATATCTGACTCTTCTTTTGACCGTTTTCACGTGTTTTGGGAATAAAAAATCTCATAATGGCTTACATCTAGCTAATTTGAGCAATTGAAAAGTTCTGTTTACTTTCTTTTGTTCAATATCTTATTTGTTTCTCTAAGCATATAAGCTAATCAGTTGTATGTCTGGCTCAGGAAAAATACCCTTGTCCCGAAATTTGAACTACCATTGCATGAAATCCGTTTAGCTTTAGTAGCTGCAATTCGAACATAAAAAAAACCACTGCTGGTACTTTAAAATTATTTGGGTGTGTGGATTTTATGGACTTAATCTTGAATACTGTTCGTTATCTCCATATGTTTCATGTATGCATGCCCTTTGAACCTCTCTTAATACATGAAAATTAATAAAACATGTTTGGAGCATTCGCTTCTCCATATTGTTATAAAAAGACACCTTTTCTTTGATTCCACATTTTTTATTTTTTCTTACTTTTCGGCTTTAAAAAATACACCTTTGTTTTTTTCATTTATCAAGAAAGTTTATCACCTCTCCTATTTCTAACAAAAATTGTAAAACAGACAGATGGCATATTTAAGGGAGCCGACTATAGTTTTATTGTGTGAAAACTACAATAGCGAAACTTTTCATTTTTATACTGTATATAACTTACATTAACTTCAGTGTACATGCAAAGTTTGGGGGAAATCTACCGTCCAGGTATTTTTGAGGGACCGTCTCAAAATACAAGTACATTTACTATAGGATTATATAGGAAAATGCCAATTTTTAGCACTTTAAAGCAAATTATACAAATACTACAATAGACATTTTGTTCAAACTACAATATTTGATAAATAATACTATATTATACAATATATGTAAGAAACACAAAATTCTACCGTCTTTTTACCAGAGGGGGCATCTCAAAATGCTAAAAATTAGCAAATTTTACTATTTTTATAGAGTATTACAAAATATGACGTAGACAATGGATTCAAATGAAAACATAATACAAATATTGGAGATATTCTCAAATTTCCATGTTTTAAATTTCAAGAGCGTATGTTTATTACTTTTTCTTTAATAATATTTTTATTACCCCTTTCTTTAAGAGCTACAGATTATCATAACGTCAAAAACACACTGCAACGACGTCAACCTACCTATCAATTGCAAAATCGGTTAAAAAATCATTTATATCAAATTGTAATTACATTTTTATACCTATAATTTCTTAATTTTAATAATTAGGTGAAAAAAGTTGCATTAAAACAGTAAATACGCTTCATTTTACTATGATGCGCGAAATATTGCGCAATGGAAACTATAGTCGGCCCCCTTAACGCGTGTTTTTTCTAAGGCAATTGTAGAAAATAAGGCTTACTATGGAATGAATTTCTTTGCGACGACAATAGGAAGATAGAACTTTTCAGCTGTGAAAAAATAAATATACTGCCTCAACATTATATACATGTACTGTATATTGCGTTACCTATTGCATGACCGTCGTACATGTACATGCACTATAAAGACGCCCCCATGACGCAGTGGTTAGAGTAGCTTCTGCTCGGAGGTCGTGGAATAAGGAGTTCGCCTTTACTTTGCGAGTACGAATACCACTATGGGGTCAACTCCTTATACCACGGCTTTCGAGCAGAAACTACTCTAACCACTGCGTCATGCGGGCATCTATATAGTATATGTACATGCACTATACCTTATGAAAAGAAGTCCCGCGGCACAGTGAGATTCGGCACGTAAAAGATCACCCACTGCTAAAAAATGGCCCAAAATGCCTAGTTAAAATAT